TAGTGAGCTTGTGTTCATTTGGTTTGACTGCTCTAAGTTCCAGGCTGATATACATGGGAGGAACATTAAATGCTAAACACACACATCCTTCAGTTAGTCTGTCTTCAAAGTGCTATTGGATCGATATTTTCTCTTTTAAAGAAATTGAATTATTGTAGAAGGGAAATTTATTCCTACAGGGGGAGCAGTAGACTGACATGCAGTGGAACTTGTCAAATGTTATGTAATGATGCATTGCAACTTGCTTTAGAGAGGGCACAATCCTACGAACACTTTGCATGCTGCCTGAGCAATTCCTTTGGTGGGATTCTCTTGAAGTGGAAGGGTGCATCTTCACTAGGGAAAAAAGTTTGTTCTTACTGACACCACACTTGGTAAGGCAACTCCCATCTTTTTATATGCTGTGTATTTATACCTCTCTACTGTATTTTCCACTCCATGCATCTGATGAATTGGGTTTTAGCTCACGAAAGCTTATGCCCAAATAAATTTGTAAGGTGCCACAAGGACTCCTCCTTGTTTTTGCTGATACAGACTAACAGGGCTACTACTCTGAAACCTAACATGTTGTAACTAACGAGATGAAATCCTTGTGAAGGCAAGGCAATTGGTAGCTTTCACACAAGTTAGTAAGTCAAGTTAGATCAGTGGTTCTCAACCAGGGGTATGTGTACTCAGAGGTCTTCCCGGGGGGGGCGCGGGGGCGGGCGTACATCAACTCATCTAGATATTTGGCTAGTTTTACAACAGGCTACAGAAAAAGCACTAGCAAAGTCAGTACAAACTAAAATTTCATACAGACAATGACTTGTTTATACTGCTCTATGTACTATACACTGAAATATAAGTACAATATTTATATTCCAATTGATTTGTTTTATAATTATATGGTAAAAATGAGAAAGGAAGCAATTGTTCAGTAATAGTGTGCTGTGACACTTTTGTATTTTTAATGTCTGATTTTGTAAGCAAGTAATTTAGTTTAACTGACTTGAAACTTGAGGGTACATAAGACAAATCAGACTCCTGAAAGGGATGGAGTAGCCTGGAAAGGTTGAGAGCCACTGAGTTAGACTCTGGTGGAGCCCAGGGCTTACTTAGATTTACTAATTCAGTTGGAAATTACAAAGTACCTTTTTTTCACTCGGATTTTACCTCATGTTAGTTACAACGTGTTAGCTATCACGTGGTAGGAACACAACTTCTTTCCTAGTGAAGACCAGCCATAGGTTCCAAGTGGGCAGATCCCTTTGCAAGGATGGAGCCATAGTTTGTGAACATTTTCAGTGATTCATGTGGTTAGCATGACTGTTCTTGGGTTTTTTTAAACTATAATCTAATTGCTATCTTGTATTTAATTAAAACCCAGTTCTGTGTAGGAAAGGAGACAAGGTGTTTTTATTTTCTCCAGCAAGCACTTTATCTCATACAAGTCTTTAATATTTTTGAATATTATTAATAATCAAAATATGGATCCATTTTCAAATATATGCAGTCTGTTAAATTTGTTTTTAAAATTATACCATGTCTTCTCATTGCTCTCACTTTACAATCTCCATTACCTAAAAATGGCTTAAGCGGTTGTTTGGAGAAAATATTTATATTGTCTGTTGTTGACTTAGGTCCCTATCCAGCAATCCATCACACACAAGTATAACTTGAAGCATGTGAGTAGTACCATTGGAATCAGTCAGATTGCTCACATGTGTAAAATTAAGCACATGAGTAGCTGATTGCAGGATTGGAACATTAGATATCCAGGTGCAAGCCAGTGCAAATTTTAAAAAAAAAAAGGGTATTGAGCCCAGATACATGGAGTTTTATTACAAAAACAACAATTAACACTCCAAGCATATAAGTATTTTCATCTCCTAGTATATCATTTAATTATCCTGTATTCTTTGTGTCACTTGCTTCCTATGAGTGTTGCACATCAAGCAATATATGAGGTAGGCAATTATCAGATTCCACAGGCATAGAATTTTTGCAGTCAATAGAAAGTAGGTGTGCTAAGTTATCCATACTTTCTGTCATGTGACGATGTTACTTTCAGCAAAGAATCAGTAAAGAAGCTTCTATATACTCTGGCAAGTCTGAGCTAAAATCTACTGGGCTTACTTATTAGGGATTCTCAGTATTACCATTTTAAAGGAGTCCAATCCATGTTATTAAATGGTCTGTTTTTAAGCAGTCGCAATACTGTATTTTAATTGAGTGTATTTTATAGTGTTATCAGGAAGAGAAAGGGAAAAGAGCACAAAGTTATTTAGTGTATTTGATTGTACAATACACTTTAATTATTAAAATGTTGTAGTTGGTTATGTTTGTATAACATAAACAAGTGGTCTCTAGTTCTAGCCAGAGAATTTTTTTCATTTCTGGATTTATGCATTTAGAGCATTTGCACAATATTTCAGTTTTTAATTATTATTTGCATTACAGTAGCATGTAGAGACTGCAAGTGAGATTGGGACCCCATTGGGCTAGGCATTCCCAAACATGTAGTGGCAGACAGTTTTTGCCACAAAGAGCTTTGCTGTGTAAACAGACAAGCAAACAAATGCTGGGAGGGGAAACAGAAGTACAGAGAGATGAGGTAGCCTGCTCATGGTCACACATCTGGTCAGTGGCAGTGTGGAAATAGATCCCAGGTCTCTTGATGTCCCGTCCAGTCCAGTCCTCTCTCCACTAGACCATGTTGCTTCCCCAAATAATGATCATTCTCCTTTAATAACTATTTAAACATATTAAATGCACTTTCATACATATTTAACTCACACGTAAGATGTCCTTCTCAATCCTAAAGCAAGTTATCCTTTCTTTTATCCACCATAGTGGTAACATATAAGAAGTAACAGTGCCAGCTTCCCCATCTGTCATCCCTGTGGGCCAGTCCTCCTGACTGGAGGGGACCACCTGTAAGAATGAAATTGTACTTAAGTCTGTATGGCCCACTCAATCATGGGTGTATTTGCTGAAACTCCTAACAAAGTTTTTTCATTTTTAAATTAATGGTTTAAATAGAACAGGTATTGTAGATGGCTATTTGATAGTTTGTTTTAAAATATCTGCAATATGGAACTGTTAAAAGGAACAGGAGTTTAGTTTTATTAAAATATATATTTGTAAACATGAAAGGAAGGGAAATTATATTAGCCAAACAGTCATGTAGGATAAGCACTTTTCATATGCACTTTAAATTCTTCTGTTTTGGAAACAGAGCCTAGCTACCTGTGAAAACTATGAATGATACACAAGAGGTTAAACACATTCTAATTTATGTGCTTGTGTACCCACAATTACGTACATCTTTGTTGTAGTAAGCATGTACGTGGACAGGGTTTCAGCAACTGAAGCTTATTTCCAGTTTCTCTTTTCCAATACAAAGTAGCAGCCTGAATAAACGCTGGAAGGCAAATTGCTGAGGTAGGAACAACTTGTGTCAGTGTTTTGTTTTGTTTTTTTTTAATTCTACATTTGGCCAACACCTTTCAATACAAAGCACCTTCTACCTTATGATTATTCAAATGTCATCATTCTCTAACTTGCATGGTACACCCAGATAAGCTGGGATATTGCCAAGAGCAAGGGCCCTTGTCAAGAGGAAATACAGGGGTCAGGCAAGCAAGATAGTAGACTTGGCTCAAAGCCTGTGCTTTTGTGACTACCTTACTGTTTCTCTTAGGTACCTTTTTCTCTTGCTTGGATACAGAGCATGAATGCTTTATGACTACCCTTTCTGAGCTCAGTTAATGCTATGCCTCATCATCCCCCAGTTTTTCCCTGCTAAGTGATATGACTAATGTGTGTGAGAACAGAGCTGTCACCTCTTGCTGACCTCCCAAGGCCCTATCATCAGGGAGAATGGCAGACAAGGTATATTATACTGCTATTTCCAGACAACCAATTTGGATGTGCAGTTTAAAGGTAACTCAAATAACCTTAACTCTGCCCGTTTCTTCACACAACCTATAGATGAGACACCCTTTCACTTGCATATCTCATATTGTCTGCATTGGCAATATGAGCTCCATATTGCTACTGTATTGTCCTCTAATATTTACGCTGCTGTGTATTTGCCATCTACGTATGGCTGGGGGTGGGGGGGAGAACATTTTAGACCAGGTGTATGAAATTTCTGATTCTGAAATTTAGATGTGAAAAGAACACCTAGCAACTTCTGAGAGTACAAATAAATTTTTAGGATCTGGTTGAAATTTAAAAATTAATAGTATTTGGTGTGGCAATTGTGCTCTTAGCTTGAGGTTGAGAAATGGTGGAAGTGTTAAAGGAGGCTAAGCTTACCTGCAAAACCAGCTGTTCAGGGATTTGCATATCACAGCGATCATTGGATTCTGTGCAAAAACAGTTTAAAAAAATTAGAAGATTGCAAAAGTGTGAGCAGGTCCTCCATTGTGGATGGTGAATGAGAATCCAGAATCACTATGTTAACTTTGCCATCATGATGGGGAAAACTTAGCTGGTTATAATTGATTGTAATTTGGCCTTTCTGCAGAAGTGATTGTAGTTCATTAATGATCTCTTTGCTGTAAAACTGACATTTGCAATAGGGAATATTCACTGTACATTCAGCTTAAGCAGTCTTTTCTTTGCTCACATTGTCTGTACAATAAAAATGTGTACACTAGCTTACATTTTCCAAACATGAATAACTCAACACTTGCCAGTAATCCTGGGTGTATGTACTCTTTTATTGCAAAAGGTATGCAATACTTGTGAAGGTGTTAAGTGGAAAAACTCATGTTGTTTGAGTTTTGGTTAGGCTGGGGACTGTAAACTTTAATAAACAGAACAGCTGGCAAAATGCAGGCTCATGCCTGCAGCCTTTTAGGCTTCTCTTCGCTCAATACTCATCTGCTTGTGCAAGCAGAACTCCATCCTCCTACCGCCCTGCACAGAGCCAAGGAGCAGCCCAGTCGACTAGGTGGTTACAGTGTAAAGAGCTGTAACCCTTTGCACTAAGCATGCAGGAGCAAGCATTCCGGCAGGCTGCTTTCTGCAGCTGAGGAGACAACATTCATAGACTTCCTTTGATTAGGATATGTCACTGTTGTCAGGGCAACTGTTAACGGTGGCGTATCGTATTTTTTCCTCCTGTGTTGCGTGCTGAATATTTTAGTGTGCAGTAGCTGGAAGAAGCTTGGGAAGAGGTGCTGCTGCAGAAAGGAGAAGCTGTGGGCTGGGATCTGATAGAACAGGTTAAAGCAGCGAAGAGAGGCATCCAAACCAATGTGCCTTTAATTAGGGCTTTTCTCAAAGGTGGGTGAAATTGCAGGCCCTCAGCTGCCAAGTGGATGTTGGTATTTGTCAGCTCTTTACATACTGCTTATCCATAGGGGATCTATTACAAGTGCTCAAATGAATAGGCAGGTCTGCAGCTAGCTGCTACACAGGCGCTGCAGTTTCTTAAATATATATTGTAATAAGCAAGTGGTAGCAGCAACATGCCTGGGGCAGCTACTACTATCCGACAAGAGAGACTGAAGAAGACAAATGCAAGGACAAATCCCCCTGGTTTATTCACCATTAACGAAGAAGATGAGCAGCAAAAGAATGGAAATGCCAGAAGATTGAAAGGTATGCCATAGTGTTCTCTGTAGTACATACTGCGTAGCATACAGTACATTTTGCTAGCTGTACCGCATGCCGTCAGGAGTGGTTGTGACCTATCAGTGCAGTTTGTCAGTGGATGTTTTCATACTATATTCATTTATGTGTAGCACAATATTAATGATAGATATATTTTTAAATGAGCTGGATTACTGGCCTACCAATTTAATTATGACTTCTGTTTTGAAATCTTATTTACTAGAAAAATCTGACTTTTAAAAAGTTATTACTAATCCCATTATCCGATAGAGATTAGGGTCTTGTAGTATAAAGGTATAAAATGAATTGCAATGTACCTTCCCTATACAGACCCGCTGATTTTTTTTTCCCCTAATGCTCATATTCTGATGAGATGAATGTCTTTTTAAAACAGGTTGTTGTAGGCTTGCAGAATAATGAGAGAGACTATAGCAGCTAATGTGGAAGGCAGCCTTGCAAAAGACATATGAAATTTGCTGTACTCTAGTTTTTGTAGAGGTTATGGAATGCCTTATGACAGAGTGCAGAAAAAAGTATATTCGAATATTGTAACTTCTGAGACGTCTACAACCAAAAATGGGGCATCTCCCATCAAAATATATTTGGTAAGAAAAAAGTCCTTGGTGCTGCTTTTATATTTTTTAATAATAGTGGCTGACTATTATAGAGATCTATCAAGCATTTGTAGCCACCATATCCTGCATCACGTAACATCTTCTGCCAGGATTCTTAAGGTTTACATTCTGTTGGTGTAGCAACAATCCTGCATCTTCGAATTGGACTAGAATTTTAAGTTTGCCCCGTCACAATTCTAATTCTCTCTGCCTGTTCAAGGGATTCCCTCAATACGTGAAAATTCCTTTTCTCTTATGCAGGAAGCAAATAAAGCAATTAGATGCCATGGTTTTGTTTTGGTTTGGTTTTGCTTTTTTTCTTGCCGAACAAATATCACTTGATAAATATCAGTCACCGTATTTTGAGGGTATCAGATTTTTCCATTCAGCCACACAATTAAAAAGGAGAGCCTACCAGGCAAATATTTAAATATCAGAGTAGGGTTAGGTTGTTTGGGGATGGACAGTTATTTTCTTGTTCTTGAATGAAATAGCTTGTTGGCTTCTAAAAAGTCCAAGTTTTTAACTGTGTGTTTTATAGTTTTTAATTTTTCTTGAAGACGGTAAAGAACTCACACAGATTTGAGCTTCTCAACAATATAGTATATTGCCAGTCAATGCTAGCACAACAACTGTCAGGGCCTTACAGGTATGTAGTTACTTGCTCAACTGTGTGTATATTTGAACAAGCCCATGTATATATTCCAGATAGGAACACTTCCCCCCCCCCCCCCTTCTTCGGTATTCTAAGAAGCCAGTTTCATTTCTTATACCGGTTGGGAGAGTTTCAGAAGCAATAGACACAAGGCTCTGTAGTATCAGCTTCCGTGTTTGGTTTGTCTGAATAGCACTTTCTAGTTTTCCAAGATACAGATTCTTGTCTTCTCTTTGTTTACATAGAGCGATGTTTGGTAAGTGTACCCTTATCCCAAAGCATTTCTATAAGATCTCATTCCATATCTTTTTTGTCAGGATTGATTGCCATTTTTATCTCATTTTCCTCTTCTCTTGCTTTCTCATTCTCCTCCTCCCTCCCTGTCCTTCATTATTTCTCTCAGAAACAGTGGGGTGAAAACGGGCCCCATTCATATCCGCGGCTGCTTGTATCAGCCAGCAGAGGGGGGCAGAAGGATGTTGCAGCTGGCAAGTTCCCACTCCCCAACTTGCTGGAGTAAAAAGCCTATCAGAGTATATCTAAAGTGGGGTCCGTTATATTCCAGTTTTGAGCACAGTAAAATGTAAACAAACAAGTGTGTGTGGCAGAGGGGCATATAGATACAAGTGCATGTGGTCATCTTCCAGTGGTATAAGATTTATTTTGGCAGCTTACCTGTGAATTTGTTCAGATGCAGTTGGTACATGGTGCGTGATATATGATAGATTGTTAAAAATATTTTCCAAGAGTAGCTCTTTATAATTGTTTCTCTGAAGACATAAAATGGCCTTTAGTGTTTCTAAAGTACAGTTTACAACTCTGTGCATGTGGGAAGGGGAGGAGTTGGTGGCTGAATCCTTGGTTATATGAAACACAGGCATCCAAGTTTGTGTTCTCCTTCACCTACCTGGTACCAAGCAAGGCCATATCAAAGCTCACTAAAGCAGAAACAAAAGGCACTTGATCAGTCCAGGTATGACTTCCTTTGGTTTTCAGTTACCCATTAATTTTCTGTCACCATTCTCTTAGTGCAGCTTAATCCCAGTTCTCTCCCTGCTTCATCAGCTATGTGCCCAGCATGCTTGTGCAGCTGCTGAGATATTTTTGCAGTGCGTAGTAGGTCAATGTCGTCATCTTAATAGGAGATGGGCAAAATAATCTAATAGGTTTTTTCCATCTCTAATTTCTATAATCAGTGGTGGAGATCTCTCGTACAGCACTTCCCGACTCAGGAGGTCACTCATGAATAGGGTGAACAGGTGTCTGGTTTTCGACTGGAACACCCAGTCAAAAAGGGACGCTGGTGGCTCCAGTGAGCACCGCCGACTGAGCTGTTAAAAGTCCAGTTGTTGGTGCTGCCTGGCTAAGGCAGGCTAGTCTCTACCTGTTCTGACACTGCGCTGTGCTCTGGAAGCAGCCAGCAGGTCTGGCTCCTAGACGTGGGGGCCACGGGGCTCTGTGCACTGTCCCCACCCCGAGCATTGGCTCTGCTTGAGGGGGGGTGGGGTGCCTGAAGTCGAGAGCAGCGCACAGAGCCGCCTAGGAGCCGGACCTGCTGCTGGCCACTTCCAGGGCTCAGCGCAGACCTCAGTGCCAGGACAGGCAAGAAGCCTGCCTTAGCACTCCCCCCCGTGCCACTGACTGAGGGCTGCCAGAGATAATCCCATGCTCCAATCCCCTGCCCCAGCCCTGAGCCCCACCATAACCCAGAGCCCCCTCATCCTGGGCCCCATCCCAGAACATGTACCCCGCATCCCAGAGCACTCACCCACCCTGTTTCCCATCCTCCTGTCCCAGCCCAGAGCCCCTTCCCACACCCTGAACCCCTCATCCCTGGCCCTACCCCAGAGACTGCACCCCCAGCCCAGTGAAAGTGAGTGAGGGTGGGGGAGAGCGAGCCACCGAGGGAGGGGGAATGTAGTGAGTGGGGGGGCAGGGCCTCAGAGAAGGGGCAGGGAAGGGGACAGGGCCTCGGGGAATGGGTGAGGCTAGGGCGTTTGGTTTTGTGCGATTAGAAAGTTGGCAACCCTACTCATGGCCCTGGGTTTTTAAGGAAGCAATGCATTTAAAAACTCAGCAAGGTAAATAAGGGTTTTGTAATATTATATATTTTTAAAATACTTTTGTGTACCATTCAGGACTTCTCAGTAATATTTAGATTTGTTTAGAATATGATCTTGTATGGTAATTGTTACAATCACCTTGGAAAGAATAAATGTTTAATGGAGAATATGAAACAGCTTTTCTCTGTTAGGTTTCAGTGGGTTGACTTCAAAGGTAACTATTTCCTTTCACTGGTGTCCTTGAGAGTCCTTACTTATTGTAATTTGAAAAGAGGTCTGATAGACCTTGAGTTTGCTCATTCAGTGCAAAGTCACACTGAAAATGTTTAGCATGCAATTTTTAAAATCTAAAGTATGTTGGAAACACGCAAAGTCCATCCAGTCTGTTTCTATTCTTATATTTCATTTAATCTGAATCCATTTATTAAATTTACCTTTTAATGCCCTCCTCCTCTAGAAATACATGTAGGAATCTCTCTTTTAGGAGAAAGAGAAGGTGGCAGTGATTGACTGATAGGTTACTGGTGTTAGCTAATACTTTTCTCTGCCCTTCGCACACTGTCAGCTATCTAATTGCTGGTTAGAAGGATGAGAAAAATGGGTTCTGTCCTCTGGTCCCTCACTGAGAATTTCCTGTGAATCGCATGTGCTGTTTCTGAAGACTGCAGTGACCTTGGCTGGATTATCTTCTGCAGTTTCTTGCCAGTCAAGATTTTTTTCCCCTTTCTTTAGTCTTTGTTGTTGATGTTCTTAATGACTAGTTAATGATCCAGCTATTATAATATGCTCCTTGGAAGCCCTGAACGTTGTGTTTTTTCACAGGAGACTCTCATGTCAGGAAGTAGGACTGTAACCCAGAACCATTCAGACACAGCTTTTCCTTCTTTGTTTTTTCTTTTCTTCTGTTGGACTTTGACTGTTTCCTTTGTCTGAAGTTTTCTGTATTTGTGCCCAAGCCGTTAGTTAAACAAAGCTAGTTCTAGTAAGATACAGAAACAAAACCTAAGTGAACTGAAATGCATGTTTAACTGGGGGGGAAGTACTTTTTATTTTAAACTCTGGATTTTCAGTTTGAGCTAAAATGTATTCAAACGCAATATAAGAATTAAAGGTGAACTGAATATATAATAGTCTTGCTTTTAAAGAGAAGTTTGTACTTAAACACTATATCTGAACAAAGAGTTTGCAATGCTGTCTTTTGTTGTAGTGGCCCTGGTACCCAGGTTCTGTGAAGCTAATCTCAATTTTGTATTAGGTAGGAGTTTCTCAGGTGATAAATCTTAGGCACTGTTTGCTTTAAAGTGAAGTCTGAACTTGAATTGGTGTCAGCTTCCTACTTCCCACCTTCCTACTGTATCAGCACATATCTAAAATGAATCTTAAACTGGAACCACAGTTTCTTCTTTCCGCTAAGTATGGAACCGTTGTGTCTTCATTCTCCTAAGTAGCCTTAGAAAATGGTGAACATTAAGCAAGGTGACTCCTGTATGCCCCCTGAAGCGTCCCTTTTGAAGTTGCTTTTAATTTAGTACTTAAATTCCCAAATTGCCCAGCCATTCCTTTGGATAGAATGCAAGCTCTGAAAGGGTTTTAAGTTACAACAACAATTGTGTTACTTTTATTTCAGAACTAGTATTTTGCTGGAAGGTCTGATTG